AAAAACGTGTTTGGCATCTAAAGTCTAACCTTTCTTTTAACCCCTTTTGTAGTTCCAATGTCAACTACCATCCATAACCCTAGCTTAATGAATATGGTTGATTGATCATGTAGCCTGATTTTAATTTCCATGGAAGTAGAGGTTTTTAGCTCGGGAGAGATGATATACACCATATGGAAAAGGAAAAGCTTACATTCCTTGCCCCATGTGAACTGTTGTTGAGGTCCAACAGTGTAAGTCAAAAAGAAGCTAAAATTTTTAGATTTGTTTTTTTCATTTGACAGTTTTGTAATTTGATATGCATTCATCTAATAATATTTTAAGTATTTTTACTGTTTTTTTTTTAACAATGGGAACATTTCTTCTAGGGATGAGGAAGGGAGAATTTAGGATTGAACTCAAATTCAATTAGTTTTAAAGATATCTGTCTTGTAGGGAGATCAGTTAGTCTCCACGTGCTGGACAAGTATTTTTACTTATTTTTTGATCTTATTATTCAACTTATTTTATTTTTAATTTAAATTATATGTAGCTTAGCCTGTAAAGATATATATAAATATTCTTATTGAATAATATTTATTAAAAATGTTTGAATACTCTCATAATTCCAAATCGAAACTAAAAAACCAACATTCTCACAATATAAATAAACTAAGAATTTAATTATAAAATAAAAATTAGCATAAAAAATGCGAAGAAGAAGAACAATAGGGAATTGAGGTTGACAAAACTGCTGTTATTTTCAGTTATGTGGGACGGAACATTAAATAACACATTGAATTACAAACTCCCACAATTTAATACTCACATGATAGCTCCCACCAGTCCCATTTCCTTTCCATCTCTTCCCATACTCCTTTAAATATCACTCCTACATCTCTCTCTGCTCACATTAATTCCAACCCCAAAACAAAACACAGAGTGAAAATAATCAACCCATTTTACCTCCTCTTCAAAACATCAGATGGGCAAGAAGATGAGGCTTCCGTTTCTATTCAAGAACAGGGAAGAACAGGGGCATCCATGGCAATGGCCGTCGTGCAAGCATCCCAAGACCCTTTCCTTCCGTGCCGGGGAGAATATGTTCAAGACTGTCAATTCTGTTTTCTTCGATTCCATTGATGGGGTTGAAACGCCGGAATCCTGGTTCACTAACTCCTCGGAAACTGCTAGCTTTTCCACGGAGTCAGAGGAGTTGTGTGATGGAGAGCTGGAGACCGTGGTACGAGGGTTGAGATCATCGGAGCGGTTGTTCTTTGAGCCTGGTGACACTAGCTCCATCCTTGAGGAGGCCAAGACAAGTGCATTTCCGTTCAAAGAAAGCGTGGTGCTGGCGATGGAATCCGTTGACCCGTACGCAGATTTCCGGCAGTCGATGGAGGAGATGGTGGAAACACACGGGTTAAAAGACTGGGAGTGCTTGAAAGAGTTGTTGGGATGGTATTTGAAGGTTAATGGGAAGAAGAACCACGGTTTTATCGTAGGTGCGTTCGTTGATATGCTTGTGGGTCTAAGCGGCAGCAGTTCTTGTACCGAATCCGCTTCTTATTTATCTGCTATTTCTTCCTTTCCTTCATCTCCTTTGTGTTCTATAGGAGGAGAGAATGAAATTGATGAGGAAGAAAAGATTGTACCTTCTTAGCTTCTGAATTTCATCATTTTTGTGTATATAATGAAAGTAAAAGAGAAATTAAACATTTTGTAAATTCTCACACCGGCCTAGAAGAGCAAATTGACTATAAATTTTCAGAAAATGGTGTACCTCAGCTTTAAGTACAAAATTTAATTCTTTCTCCCTAAATTTGTACTTGTTTAAAAAAAAAAAAAACCATTTTGTAAATTCTCTTTGCAAGGGTAATCTTTGACTGCTTTTACATGTAAACAAGAGATTAATATCTATTATTGACTTTAAAGAGTCTTGATTATGGGATGAAGATAAATCAAATCTAATGCAATGCCAAGCAAAAAATCATATTTGTTTATCAAAAGAAATCTTCCCATGCTTCTATGGATGCACTTCTAAGTTAATCGAGTAAATCAAGTTTGATAGAAAATGTTACAATATTCCTTTACAGTAACAAGTATTAATAACATTGTAACAAAAACGTTGTAACTAAGTCATTATTATTTTAAATATAGTCTAAAAAAAGTTTAGAAATTTGAATTACTCCTAAACATTGTTATTGAATCGTTATCCTTTCACATTTTCAAACTCTGAAACAGACACAGACATCATAATTCTCGTGTGCAGGAAGAAAAATATAATTCAGTTTACACTACAGAGTTGATTAAAAAAAAAAAAAAAAACTCAGAGTTGATAAATGAAACTACTCAAGGCAAAAGGCAAAGCGCGCGCCTGCCTCAACCGGGTTCTAAACTACAAGAGCTCTTAGAGTTCGAATCTCAACTTCAAACAATGTTAATTAATGAAGAGAGAAAATTCTCACAGGAAGGTATGCAATTAAACCACAGAAACTACGGTTTGAATCTTAGTTAATGCATAGATAAAAAGAGAACAGAATTGGAGATTGTATGTACCAAATAATCCCCCCTAGCAAGAAAGGTCATGTTCACGTGAAGGGTTGTGGGGGACGAGGGGGTATTGATATTTGATGGTCACAATCAATTGACATAATTTGGATTTTTGTACATATCAACAACTAGCCTATTTATCCTAAAGCTTTGTGTTGGAGAATTAGATGCTTTACGTCAATTGATGGGCCACCTGAAAGCAACTATCAACTGACAATTTCATGCTAATAAGACTGAAAGATACATCCGACTGACCCCATTCAATTCCCAGCCACAACACAAGATGAATACATGTCCAAACAATTTCATGCTAATAAGAATAATTCCTTTCCAACTCCCACCTCTCTTTTTCAGAAGAGGATTCCATTCCACATCTCCAACAAGCTGAGAATGGGCTCTAGTCAAGGACAGTGAATCACGGATTTCCATTTGATTGTTAAAAGCCCAAAGCCAAGAATAGGCTCCAATCAATGTTGTTATTGTTTTTTTTTTTTTTTTTTTTTTTTTTGCCAATGCATGTAATGATCTGATCATTCAATTCAATGGCCTGGGTGCCATCCTCCGGATTTAATTTAAGTGCCAATGCAGAGAAGAAAAACGATTAGATGAGGTGAATACAAGTGATTTTCACAAAACACTACACGATTTCGGAACATATAATTGTTTGTGATGAAATTCAGACAGAGTAGAACAATCTATCATGAAATGAAAAGAAATTCATCAGATGGAGTAGAACAATCTATCAAGAAATGAAAACAAATGCACAATCTAAAATGAGCACATATATAATTGTTTGTTTGTGATGAAACTCAGAAAGAGTAGAACAATCTATCATAAAATGTAGAAACTACAACACGTAATCCAACCATATGCAACCAAATTAACAGTTCAGAATTCCAAACAGTCATATGCTCCAACATTTATTCTATTCTTGCCATCAAATACCAGTTTTTAGCTTTTACTACTTTCAGCAGCATCACTCTCTTACTTGCTCAGTGCAACCCTGACTTCCTTCAAAATTGTTTCTGTTGATTAGTGGAAGTTCCCCACATCATATGAAATTGCTTCTTATTTCTAACCAAGCAATGGTGCTGCAGCAACACATTCTTCTGCTTCCCCTCAGTCCCATGTTCAAGTTCAAATTTGCAGTACAATGCCCAAAAATCACCAGTAGGGGGATCGAGTGTCACTGTTTCATGGAGGCACGACCTAGCCTCATCCACCTTATCATCGTGCCAATATAACTTGGCCTCGGCATCACTGACATGGGCATTCGCCCCACATGTGGGTGTAGGCAGCTTTAATCTTGCTGCCACGTTTCGGCCAGGGAACCATCTCAATTGCTGCGGCGGACAATGCACCTCTATATGGACACTTCTCTGATGCTCTTTCCATCAACAAACCAGCTTCCTTCTTGTTACCACGCATTAACTCAGTACGAACGGCTTCAAGCCATAGTTCAGGGCGATGTGGATTATTCTTCCTTTCAAGAGTGAGAACAGCACAAGCTTTAGCTATTCCATTAATTTTGTCTTCAACATTGGCAAGAGAAAACCAAAGAGGTATACGACTGGGACAATGCTCCAAACCTGACTCATAAACCTTCTTAGCATTTTCCAATTCACCAAGCCGTCCTCCAGCTGCCCAAGCATCAACCACACAATCTACAGAATGAAGGAAATTCTTTTAATCCTTCGTACAGAAACTTCCTTTCTTTTTTTCATGTTCTCTCGCTTTCTATCAACAATGGCTGAACTCATCCAGATTTTCATTCCAATTCCTGTTTCTTGAGCCTTAGCAAGAAGTATGCCTCCCTCAGGCTCATGATTCTTACACTCAAGCTTAAACTTCTCAAAATCAGAATTTGAGGCACGATGAACTTTAAGAGAAAAAGCACGAGCTTTATACAATACGCCATAAAGCAACCTCTCATCCAAAAGCAAAAGAACCTCATTAACTGTCCTATGAACTAATGCTTTAGACAGAAAAGCATCAAGGGACTCCCAAGTCCCGTGGCTCTTCTCAAGTCCAGCTGCTTCCAACCAAAAAATCTTCCCTGCGGAAACACCTTAAGAGCATGGGCATAAATAGCACTGGCATTCTCAATAGAGCCTCTCTTCGTACATTCTTCAGCACCAGCAACCCAGGTTCTCATCTTCTCTACTCCCTCCACTCCAATACCAATAGACAAGTTGCTACTGGTCCTGCTCTCTCAGCAGTCTCAGCCTCTTTCATCCAAGCTTCCCCGTTAATCACCAATCCTTGTTTCTCCAAGGCCATGATACCCTCCAAGATACCCAACTGAGTTATGATTGTCACTGTATAAGAATTTGAGTTTGCCTCATCCAACTTTGCAGCAGTAATCCAAATGGCAGGCTCCTTCGGAAACCTCTCTTTTGCCTCATAAAGAACCTTCTTTGCCTTGTCACAAAATTTGTATGTAAGTTCAAGTTCTCTTCTAGAGCTTTTGGTTCCAGTATTTTTTCTGCATTGTTTTTGATTTTGATATAATTGACAAAAAAAAACTCACATATATAGGAATTAGCGAAGTATTTGGAAAATTAACTTTTTTTTTTTTTTTAAGGTTTATGACTTCTTTTTTTCCACTTCAAGTTTTTCTTGGCAGGATGTTTTGAGGAGTTTTTGAATAAAAAGTGCCCACACTGCTTCCAGGAAATTGTCAACACTTTAACACTTAGCAGGGTTAACAATCGGGTAAGAAGTGTCAACACTTGAACAAAGTTGAAACACTATAAATAAAATTTTTATTTTTATTTTTTTGTCAGCAATAAACTTTATTAATCGGGTAAGAAGTGTGTTCAAGGGATACAGTACAATTGTAAGGCAACTTGAATCCCAAGATGAGAAAAGCTAGCTGTTAAGGTGGAAGAGCCCAAGGCCACATAAACTGTTGAGTAGTTTGCAAATGTTAAGGTCCCACATCAAGAGAATATGGGAAGTTAAAGGAATTTATAAAGGCTTATTTGTTATCAACAAATAGATAAATAAAGTGAAGCCTAAGATATATTGGGCCTTACCCTTTATATATAGTCAAAGATGGGCACTTGGGCACCTTGGGGCTTGACTGTCAAAATATTTATTTTTTATTTTCGGATTTTTAATTTAATTTATTAAATTTTAATCTGAAAAAACATGTCTAAATATTGTATAACTTTTAGAAATCTAAAGGTACCTCTTTGAAATGGTATCTTTCTGAAGGGATACATCCCTACAAGTAGTGGCTTTTCAATCAATATAAATTCCTATGCAAAGTCAAAGTTCTATATCTAGTTTTTGAGAGAGTTTGAGTTCTGTTGTATCCTGGAGGATTTTTGAATCTTTAAGGAGAGTGAGATCACGCCTCAGAACTATCTGTTTTTTCATTCTGATAATCCTTATCTTTAACATAAACCATACACCAGAATCCCATACTTTGAATGTGGGGTCCAAGTTATCTTGCAAGTGGACAGAAACAAAAATACTTTATTAAGGGTGTAGAAATTAGTAGGCTTGATGTAAATACTTGTAATGCAAATTGCAGCCTACTATATAAGGTGGTATTGTAATGAATTCTTTTATGTATGCCTTATAAATTCATGGATCCAGATTTTCAAAGGCTGAATCATGAAAATAATGGAATAGCAAGGACTGAGGATTTACATGGGAGACAACTACAGTGGAACCAACCAAGCCTGAATTTGTCTGTCTAGTCCAGACTCTAAAAAGCAAGTTTAATACAATCATGCAAGCACTGATACATAATCTATTCATAATATTTTAAAACTCACTTTGTCAGAGAATGACAAAATTCCAAAACCAGATGAAATTTAGATATGCATATACTGCTGTGATTACAGGAACATTTGCTTTTTTAAACCCAGATTTATATATATAAATAAAAAGACAAAAAACAAAAACCCATTTACGTACCTCATGCAGCGTAGTCAGAATCCTCATAAATTTCATCCTCAATCAACTGATCGCAGTTCACAACTCACAAGAGGATTTCACTCCAACGTTGCCGCATGACCCCACTGCAAAATGTGATCCTTCTTTGAGAACCAACCAGTGGGCATGATTTGGGTCGGATTCCTTAAAGGCCCAAAGCTGAGAACGGACCTTAGTGGTTCAACAATTTTATGCAGTCATGGACTCATAGACTCACATATATTTCCTCAACTTGGACCGCCATGTTGGGCTCGTTGCCAAGTTGCCTCCTGTTGTGTGGTATATAAGGAAATTTTCAAAATCCATATGTTTATGAATTAATATTAGTTAAGAGGAAATATCGAAACAAATGGGTCCATAGCTCAGTGGTAGAGCATTTGACTGCAGATCAAGAGGTCACCGGTTCGAACCCGGTTGGGCCCTTTAAAAATATAAACTTTTTGATTCAATATTAGACCAATGCCTTGTAAAAGACTTTACACTACAAAGTGCAAATTCCATCTGCCTCCGTTTTAATTATCTTTAAAAAAACAAAAATAAACATAATAATTTAAAGGATCTAAATTAAAAATTAGTTATATTAAAGTTGGATTGAATGAATAATTTTAAAGTATTGTGTTTAAGTAAATTAAAATTTAAAATCTTAACATAACACAAAAATCAATGTAGACCTCTTTCTTTCAAATAAATAAAAGAAATGAAATGTATTGGACGATAAAAGAAGGAAAAGCCCCAAAGCAACTTTATACAAAGAAAAAACAGAAAAGAGAAGGTAATGTTTCCCCTTTTTTTTAAACACAAATTTCTTATAGAACACTACACTGTCAATGTTATATAATCCTTAACTCACAAAATCAATCATGAAAAGCATTATTCCTCGTCTTCGAGAAGGGAGCAAATTAAAGACCCCAGTTCCCACTTCTCATTCTCTTCAAACAGACACCCAGTCCTCTCTCTTTTCCTCCTTATTGGCAGATTTTCCTTTTTCCTTTTTCCTTTTCTCTTTTCCATCATCTTGTTTTGAGCTTATTCTCCTTACATCTATCTTTGAACATAAAGAAACAAAAGTGCTTATTCCATTCATATATATGTGTGTGTATATGTATGCTCAAAGGCTAAAGCATATGTAGTGCTTTGAATATATTAATTACAGCTCCCACAATGTAGAGACACCAACTTTTGTCTTTTGATTATCCACATACCCTTTACATCACATGCAAACCACTTTCACTTACAATGGCCAAAGTTTTGCCTCACTAACAAGAAAAGCATAAAGCCCCACACTTCCTATAATATCTCAATCCATCAACATTCTTCTTTGCTTCCCTACGACAATCTTATCACCCCTACCACTGCTTCTTTCATCTTAAATCTTTGAATAGGTAGTTATCAAAACAAACCTAGTCGGCAATCCAGGATTATAGTTTTGATCCTTACCTTTGATATCTTGGCAAAAATCTTCTCAAGTTTGTATTGTTTTTGCTTGGTAGAAGATGAGAGCAGGAGCTTGTAGTGCGCAGCAGACTCTAACTGCTGATGCTGCAGCCACAGTGAAGCATGCAGTGAGTCTTGCTAAACGGCGAGGTCATGCCCAGGTGACTCCTCTTCATGTAGCAAGTTCCATGCTTGCAGCGTCTTCAGGTTTACTTCGGAAGGCTTGTCTTCAATCCCATTCTCACCCTCTCCAATTCCGAGCCCTAGAGCTTTGCTTCAATGTTGCGCTCAATCGCCTTCCTGCGTCATCATCAAGTCCTCTGTTAGGCCCTCACTCCCATCATCCTAGCCTTTCCAATGCCTTGGTTGCTGCCTTCAAGCGTGCCCAGGCTCACCAACGCCGGGGCTCCATCGAGAACCAGCAACAGCCCATCCTAGCTATCAAGATAGAATTAGAAAGCCTCATTATCTCTATCCTAGATGACCCCAGTGTTAGTAGGGTCATGAGGGAAGCTGGTTTCTCTAGCACCCAAGTTAAAAACAAGGTAGAGCAGGCTGTTTCCTTTGAGATTTCCTCTCATGGTACTCCTCCTGCGGCTTGCCAGACTAAAGAAAGCCCTAAACTTCAACTCCTTGGAGCAAACCTGTCTCAGTCTTCACTTTATACTCAGTTTGGTTTTTCAATAAGCAAACCACTTGATCATGTTAGGAATGAGGATGTAACAAATGTCTTGAACGGAATAGTGAACAAGAGGAGAAACACTGTAATTATTGGAGAGTGTCTGGCTACTGCTGAGGCTGTAGTTAGGGGAGTGATGGATAAGTTTGAGAAAGGACAAGTCCCTGGGGACTTGAGGTATGTTCAGTTCATCAATCTTCCTCTCTTCTCCTTGAGAAATCTCCCCAAGGATGAGGTGGAGCAGAAGCTTGTGGAGCTTAGGTGCCTTGTGAAGAACTATATGGACCGAGGGGTTGTCTTGTATTTAGGTGATCTGAAATTGGTTTCTGAGTTTTGGTCACCCTATGGTGAGAGGGGAAATTACTACTGTCCTGTGGAACATGTCATAATGGAGCTTAAAAGAATAGTGTGTGGAATTAGGGAGACTGCTGGAAAAATGTTTCTCATGGGGATTGCAACTTCCCAGACCTACATGAGATGCAAAGCAGGCAATTCTTCCCTTGAGACGATTTGGGAACTTCATCCTGTTACAATTTCAGCTGACAGCTTGAGCCTCAGTCTCACTTTGGACAGGTAAATTCAATATTAGTCTTTTCTTCAAAGAAAATGTCTTATTTTGCCTTTCTCTTTACGCGCCATGTCGATAATTCACTGTCCTACTTTTCTTTGATTTTGATAGGGATGCTCAAAGAACTGCAAGCAGTCTACAAATCAAGGAGTCAACCACAACGATCTTTTCTGCCAGCTCAAGCTTGCCTCCATGGCTGCAACAGCACAAGGAAGAAAGCAGAAGGAATACTGCCAATGATCAGGTTTCTTTCTTATCTTATTGGAATGATCATATTATCTTCATATTGATTCTGGTCATTGTAACTTACATTTCCTTTCATCATTATATTTTCATTCTACCAGGAATTTGTCACTGTCAAAGATCTTTACAAGAAAAGGAATTCGTATGGTTCAGTTCACACACACTACTATAATGCTGAGGAACCTCTTGATATTTCTCTATCTCCTTCTTCCTCAACTTCAGCCTCCTCCCAAGATCATAACAAAAACTTCCATCAGACCCAACTCGGTACTTGGCCAGTCATTTTTGAACCAAAACAGCAACCTAAAGAACACCAGTTTTTGATGTTCGAAAGAAGTGATGAAGGACATGAAGTTCAAGTGAGAAATGATCCTAAGCCAGACCTCTTATCAAATCCTAACTCTAGTCCAAATTCAGCTTCAACGAGTGAGGCAGTAGAGGAGGATGTTGACAAACTTTATGGATTCAAGGAGGTTAATGCTGAGAACATGAGCATTCTATGCAATGCATTAGAGAAAAAGGTTCCATGGCAAAAGAAGGTGATTCCTGGACTAGTTAGCACCCTCCTAGAGTGTCGTTCTGGAGCAAGCAAAAGCAAAAGCTGGATAAAGCACAGAGAGCAGAAAGAAGAAACATGGATATTTTTCTCAGGTGCTGATTCTGAAGCCAAACAGAAAATTGCAAGGGAGCTAGCCAGACTCGTCTTTGGATCTCAAAGCAGCTTTGTTTCAATAGGTATGAGCAACTTCTCATCATCAACAAGAGCTGATGCACATGATGAAGAATCGAACAAGAAAAGGATGAGAGATGAGCGGGATGGAGGCTATCTTGAAAGGTTCGGTGAAGCATTGAATGAGAATCCTCACAGAGTATTCTTAATGGAAGACCTAGATCAAGTTGATACTTCTTCTCAAAAGGGCATCAAGCAAGCTATGGAAAGTGGGAAAGTAACACTTCCTTGTGGTGACAGTACCGTTCCCCTTAAGGATGCCATTATCATTTTCAGTTGTGAAAGTTTTAGTTCTGTGTCAAGACCATGTTCTCCACATAGAAGGCAGAAAGTTGATGAGGCTCAAGAGAAGGATTGCAAGGAACACATGGAGGAGAAAGGTCCAGGTGCCTCTCTAGATCTGAATATTGCCATTGAAGATGAGTGTGGAAATGAAGGTTCATTTGGTGACATCGGCATGTTGGAGTCTGTTGATGGGCAAATCAACTTTAGAGTGCAAAAACAGTATGAGAGATCAGTTTGATACATTAAGTTATCATTAGATTCTGTGGTGAAAATTATTTTCTTCTTATTTTCTTCTTTTGCTTGGTTTGTATTTAGAGTGTTAGATTTGTGGTGAAGGGAAAGTAAAGAATTCAAACTAACAAGGGGAGATATCACAAGATTTAGCATGTTAGAACTAGGTTTGCATGATGATCAGTGTATCTTTTAAGTTCTTCTTTGTTACATGTATAATGCAGCAGGTTTTGTACTTCAGATTCTAATTATTGTATTGTAAATGGGATTTCTGATTTCTATTTGAAGAGACATAAAACAAGCAAACAAATCTATGATAGAAATTCTATAACAACCATTCTAATATAAAGAAAACATATGAAATCCATATCAAAGCATGCATATATCGTTCCTAGAAATGACATTTCGTCAATGGCAAATCAAGAAAGTAAAAGACAAATGTGACTCATGCATGAGAATTGAGCAAAGGAATGATCACTTTAGAAGGAAAAGAATGGAAAAATTCTTCTACAAGAGTTATGAGAAGGAACATAACTTTTTCATGAAATGGATGCCTGATATTCTATAGATTAGTCTGTATTTACAGCCTAACATTCCCATCTTTGAAAAGTATCAGGCGGGATATATATCAAAAGCCCTCAAAAGAAGACGAATATAAAAACAAGCAGCATCAAAAATCTTTAAGACTGTAAAGAAGTTGGTTTCTTTAGAATCATAAAAGGGACACCAACTTTAGGACTTTAATAGATTAACCCTCTAATTAAGCATGTTTTGAGAAATAAATATAGGTTGATCAACATAAATAACCACAGGTATTTTTAAGACTAATGCCTCACTTGATGTACATAGAGATGGGGCCTTTAGTTCCTCCCCTCTCTCTCTCTCTGCAGATTCTCTGTGTCTCTCTTCAATACTAGTTAATTATTAGCTTGATGCTCCTATTTCTTTATCACTATTATTAATTCTTCTCTGTCTTACTATTCTAATGAAGGAATATTATTTTCCTCAGCTCACAAGCTTCATGATTAGTTGTATATATATAATTCTATATACATTTTTGGCATTAATATACTTAGTAGTCTGAACTTTGAAGCATATAAATAAGCTTCTCCAAATCAGTATGCTCCTCATTTTTCTTAAAAAAGGAAAAAAACACACAGAGTTCAACAGAATATTATCAGGAAAAGAAAACAAAGACAAAAGGAATAGAAAATGAGAAAGCAGGAACATTAAAATGTACATTTAGAGCTTTATTCTTTGCCTTGGTTGTAAGAAATCAATAGACTATAATGAAATTGTATCTACAAAGATAAATTCTCTCTTGCATGGCAAAAGGAAAGTGAAAAATCTAAATATACCCATCATTGCCTTAATTCTGCATTTCTTTCTTCCTTAAGCTACAATAATATGTCATCACAAGACGACTAGACCTCGAGCTATGTTCCCATTAGAGATAGAATGATTAAAGGACCTTCCAAAAAGGTTTCTTAGTGGTAAATGATAGCAAGAACTTCCATTAAAAACCTTTCAAGTTGCTATGATACTAAGGATTATTTTTCTTGAATTATTTTCTTGTTTTATGTATGCAAAGTTACACTAACTGTAAACAACTTTACCAAGATTAAGACTATCTTCTTTTTTGAAAATGTTGGTTCTTTTTATTCTTTAATTAACCTTTTGTTTTTTCTTTTCTTTTCTTTTCTTTTCTTTTCTTCTCTTTTTCCTCTTCTTTTTGTCCTTTTCCTTTTTTCCAGTTGGGATACCTTTCTTGTTAGTTTCACTCCTCCCCTGATCCTCTCTCAAGATCTTAATCCAAGTTATTTGCTTTCTAAAGAGGCTACTTGAATTGATTTAACTAGGTTATAAATTTTGGTTTAGCCGACATAAGATAAACATTCTCTCAGACAGAATAATTGGTAAGATCAAACCTTGGTCCAGGTGTTGTCCCAATTCACCATTTCTCTGCTTTGTCAGCTGCTACAATGAAGTAGACTTTTGTTACAGGGTAACATAAGCCTGCAAGACCATAAAAAAATAAAAAACCATATACCTGTAATCACAAATGTGTTAGTTTTCTCAAAAGAGAAATTTACTAAACCTCAATCCTTCAATGATTTAAAGCAGCACAAACACAATAATTTTACATCTCTTAATGCATGCTTATTACTTACAAATATTAAATTTTTTACAAAAAAAAAAAAAAAAAAAA